GCTTCGGCCGCCACCCGGGAAAAATTCAAAATTTCCTACCAACTGAAAATATTAGGTGTGTTCCGCGCGCTCATATGACCTTATGAAGTTGCGAGCGCCGTAAAACACTTTACCAAAACAAACAACAACAAAGTCATGTTAGTCGTGACAACACTAACAACATGCCAGCTAGATCTACGCTAAAAAAATCCCACTCCAGAATCATGTAATAATATACGAGTCCGGAAAGTAGACACGTTACAAATCAGAATTCAAAGTCTATTTTTAGATACCACACCCACACGAAAGCTACGCTAGGGTTGGCAAGCACATCAGAAGGCGAGCAATGTCGTTGATTACACAAGAAATAACACGGTGAACATTATTGTACATAATAAATATAATATAAAACGTATCTTTTTCTTTTTTTGTATTGTTTAGTTTAAAAAGAGTTTTACGGCACTTGCAACACAATACGGTCATATAAGTGCTGAAGATTAGAGGTGTAACAAGAGAGTAACAAACACAACAAAAAAAGAGGGCAGTTGTTTTAGTAGAGGTTTTACGGCGCTCGCAACTGCATAAGGTCATATGAGCGCCAGAAGATTACAGGTGTTAGATTAGAAGAGAGTAACAAACATAAAGAAGAAAAAGGGGAGATAAGGGCGATAAATGTTTGATAGGAAAGAAGGAGCAAACCACACCAGAGCACCCGCCAACCACCCACGCGGGTTTACTTTAATAAGAATTTTACGGCACTTGCAACACAATAAGGTCATATAAGTGCCGAAGACTAGAGGTGTTACAACAGTTAAACAAACCAACAAAAAGAGGGCAGATAAAGACGATAGAGGTTTGATAGGAAAGAAGAAGCAAACCACACCAGTGCACCCGCTAACCACCCACTAAAATGATTGTACATATATAATATAAACCATATGTAAATATCCTGCAGGTGAACATGGACCCAAAGACAAACACACGGACAGTAAGCTAAATGTCTCTTTTCTAGTCATGTTGTTCCCAGTTGTCTGTTCCGGAGGAGAAGAAAGAGAGAAAACGACAAAGAGAGGACGAAAGAGAAATAGAAAAAAAGAAGACAGACAGACAGATATATATATATATATATATATATATATATATATATATATATATATATATATATATATAGAGAGAGAGAGAGAGAGAGAGAGAGAGAGAGAGAGAGAGAAAGAGAGAGAGAAAGAGAGAGAAAGAAACAGACAGACAGACAGACAGACAGACAGACAGACAGACAGACAGACAGACAGACAGACAGACAGACAGACAGACAGACAAAGAAGGAGAGAGAGAGAGAGGGAGAGAGAGAGAGAGAGAGAGAGAGAGAGAGAGAGAGAGAGAGAAAGAGAGAGAGAGAGAGAGAGAAAGAGAGAGAGAGAGAGAGACAGACAGACAGACAGACAGACAGAGAAAGAGAGAGACAGAGAGAGACAGACAGACAGACAGACAGACAATCAGCTGACTGATCTTGTTCACCGAACGATCGAAGAATCCACCGGCCATTAATCGACTCCCTGGCCCCGCGGCTGATTTAATGACCGTGCTAACAACATGTCTCACAGCCTGATGGAAGGCACACGAGCTGGTCATTAAGAACCTACAAATAATAACCAAAGTATTCCTTTATTGATTTCACGTCTTGGCCTATAAATCATGGGGTCGATTATAATTAAGGGAACATAAGCAGCTGATTTGAACCGTTATGGGAAGTTCGCGTGACGCGACTCGTCGAAATCGAAAGTCAGGAGTCAGTCAACATCCAACTAATCGACAGATGCGGGTGCCATAGTTCTCACTGATGTCGCTACCTGCTCAGAATCAGAAAGTTCTATCTGACTTTTTGGCCGTTTTGAGTTAATAAGATCATGAGGTCAAAAAAAAAGTCAAATGTTCTTTCTGCTCTTTCAAAATCGTAAGATGGTTATATTTTTTTAGTTAGTATTTTACGGCACTTGCAACGCAATAAGGTCATATGGGCGCCATAAGATTAGAGGTGCTACAAGAGAGTAACAAACATAAAAAAAGAAGGTGGGGAAATAAGAACGATAGATGTTTGATAGGAAAGAAGAAGCAAACCACACCAGAGCACCCGCCAACCACCCACTAAAAAACTCCAGCTACCTTTGAGCTACAGGGAATTCTAATTACATCACAGACAATGAACCACTTCACAAGAAATAGACCAGGAAATTAGACACAGAGAAAGGGAATTGAAGAACGAGTGGACGAGACAAGACACAGAGAAAGGGAATTGAAGAACGAGTGGACAAGACAAGACTAGACACAGAGAAAAGAAACAAGAACGAGTGGACAAGACAAGACAAGACACAGAGAAAAGAAACAAGAACGAGTGGACAAGACAAGACAAGACACAGAGAAAAGAAACAAGAACGAGTGGACAAGACAAGACAAGACACAGAGAAAAGAAACAAGAACGAGGGGACAAGACAAGACTAGACACAGAGAAAAGGAACTGAACAACGAGTGGACAAGATAAGGGACCATCTGCGGACAAAAAGACATTAACAAAGTAACCAATGGACATGATACATACATAATGACATTCTACCTAAGTTTTAGTTTGGGTACGAGTTTTACGGCACTTACAAAGCAATAAGGTCATATAAGCGCCGAAGGTTTTGTTTAAGTAAGAGTTTTACGGCACTTACAATACAATAAGGTCATACAAGTGCCGAAGGTTAAAGGTGTTACAAGAGATTAACACAAAAAAAGAATGAGGGGAGATAAGAACGATATTATATATGTTTGATAGGAAAGAATGTGCAAATCACACTAGAGCATCCGCCAACCATCCACAAATGTTAGTGAAATATGAAAACAATTAAAAGGCACAAGGCATTTCAGAGTAGCCAACTAAGCCACAAGACAACATACCACCCACTGGCCAAACATGCAAACAACCATGCTTCTCCCTGAAAACACCAAAAGCAAACAGTGATTGAGCCATGCTTTAGAGCATACAAATCGGCAACAAAATTATAGTGCGGTCAAAAATTCGTGGCGCAACTTATCCTTAAACATCTTTTTAACGAGTGAATGAATGTCACCCTTGCTTTGCACAGCAGTTTGTATCAATTAGTCTTAACTTACAAATCACATTTTTTCCACAACAGTTGAGGCTAGATTAAAAAACTTCTCTTCATAAATTTATATAAAATACTACAAATTTTCTTCACGCGGAAAATGAAATTGTTCACAGCACTTCCCACTCCTCACACACATTTTGTATATGTATATCGTCACAGCTCACCAATGACACTTTTAGTGGCAAAACTTGTAGCAAGAAATTAATTTTAGAGTGAACATTTTTTTGCACTAAAAGTTCTCAAAGCATGCATTTAATAAAGATAATCTCGCGATTAGAAAAACATGACGGACTTGCTTTTAAAAGCGATATCGTCCCAGCTGTAATAAAAAAAACTTTAAAAATCAGTACAAACCACCCACTAGGATTTTTTTACAAGTATTTATTAAGGAATTTTCTTGAATTTTCAGAATTCAGGCGTTTACAAAAATGTTGATCTGTTAAGACAAAATTGATACAAGTCACTGTGCAAAAGCTGGAAAGTTTATATGCGATAGTTGAGGAGATATTAAAATTTGACAGTAAGTTGGGCCACGAATGTTTTACCGCACTTCGCAACAGGTACCAAAACATGAACGTCACATCACAGAATGACGTACGCCCAAAGCAAACAGAATGACTTAATTACACCCAAAGCTATACATTGGAATATTAGGCTTCAAATAGCACGGCTATACAGTAATGTCAATATGCACCACAAAAAAACTAACAAACACACCAAACACAATGGTAATCAACTAAATACCATCGATATCATTATTTTACGCATATAAGAGTGTGAAAGAGTGTCTGTAATTTTAGGACTGCGCCAGCATGCTGTATTAATTAGCCGACTCAAACGTCATTTTGTTCTAGTATGAGTTTTACGGCACTTTTACCACCCAATTAGGTCAAAGAAGTGCCCAAAGAAGATAAGGGGCTATACAAAGAGAGCAACAAACATAAAAAAGAAGGAGGAGAGATAAGGACGATTGGAGTTACAAACAAACAAACAAAATATTTTAAAAAGGAGAAAGGCGTGAGACCAGAAGCGCTTGTAGAACAAACAAACAAACAAAAAAGAGTAAGACATGAGACAAAAAGAAGCACATGTAAAAACCCCAAAAAAATCAATATATTATAAGACATAACGAGACAATCAGCGCTAGTAATAGGTCACTTTTAAGGACAAGCGGGCTAACCCAGATTTCGGGGGTTTCCAGAAATCTTGACCTACACCAAAAGTGGGCATTGCTCAACCTATAGGAGAAGTTTGGTTTCATTGGTGTGTATATTTCTTTGGTTATAGAGAAAACTCTCTTTGCTTTTTAAAGAAACTGAATAAGAGGCAATAACTTTACCTTCAATTTTCTCAGAACAGCATTTTTCGGGATAGGCCCCTTGTGCTTAAAAGCGACCAAATAATACAGAAGGAGGCAATGAGCGCTTGTAAAAACAACAAGAGCAACAACAACAACAAATCAATAAATAAGACATAAGGACACAATGAGCGCTGCTATACTCAAGTGTGGAGGCACGTACCTTTGGCTGAGAGCTGCTCGCGAGCCTTGAGGGCTATGTGGTGGGCGGAGGCGTTGGCGTGAAGGAAGGAGCCGTTGGTGGCCGCGTCAAGGAACATCTCCAGACGGCTGATCCGGGACATCATGGACTCTAGCAGTACCGCGATCGTCTTCTTCAGGTCTGTCCACACACACAGAGACAGACAGACACACACACACACACACACACACACACACACACACACA